CATCATTCTGTTGCGGTATCTTTGGAACAGTGAACCCATGCCTGACCCCCTCTATAGCACTAAAATTCCTGAACTTCTGATCACTAAAATTTCTGAACTTCCACTTCATTTTCAAAACACCAGATTTTTGTTTTAAGAAACAAACCATACCTTTCTTGTGGGATCATTAGTGAACATAACAAAATAGCAAGAACCACCAATGGACTGAACTGGAGTAGGACCCCCATACATTAGTATGCACTCACTCTAGTTTTTTTTTTATTTCACCACTGACCCAATCTTGGAGAAGGAAACATTCTTCTGCTTTCCATATATGCAGCCTTCATAGAAATCCAAATCAACTTATTTCAAACCTTGAAGCTTTTTCTTTGAAAGTAGGGACTTCATACCATTCTCACTCCTATGGTCAAGCCTTCAATGCCACAGAACTACATCCATCCTGGTTCAAACCACATCAATAGTCATTTCATTGATCAAATAACGGGGTGTTTTCAATGTTACGTCAAGCCATCACTAATGCCCCCTAGTTACCTTCCATGAATCATCTGTGAAAGTAATCACAAGTCTTGACTTTAACATCTGACTCAAAGAGATAAGATTTCTCTTCAAACTTGGAATATTTCTACCTTCAGTAAGCTTTCAGACTATTCCATTCGGCAACATGATATCAACATCACCCTTTATTACTATACTTCAAGCCTTGTTGTCTCTAAGATAAGCATTCCCTAAATCACTCTAAGTATAGTTTTTAAATGCCTCTTTATTGTGGCATGCATAAAAAGAGGCACCTAAATCTACTATCAATGATTCAGTTCTTACTAGGGATAACACCAGAGATTCACGTTGGATTTCACCAGTAGAGACACTATTAGAGATGCTAATTTCTTGTCCTCCATCATTAGTTTTCCTTGGAGCTTTGCAATCCTTCTTGAAACGCCCATTCTTACTGCAGTTCCAACATTCTCCTTCGCTTGACTTAAGCTTTCCATTCTTGGACTTCGATTTGCCTCTGCCAGTATTCCTGCCTAGATTCCTTCATCTACTATCAACATTTAATGCATAACCTAAAGATTCACCATTGTTGGTTTTCTGCAAACTTCTTCATTCAACATCATGTTTTCATTCTTTTCTCTATTTATTTTTAAAAGAGTCGTCAGTTTATTTATCATTGTATATTTCTTTTTTCTGAATAAGTTTATCTTTTTAGATCAAATGAATGATCATGAGAAGAGATGAATCAGAAAAGTAGGACTTATGACAAATACAGAAAAATAAGAGAAATAATATGGAGAACATCTGTGCGACAAACTTCGCTAGGATAGGTCAAACACATATATCCAAACAAAATCGGATCGAAATAGATTGTGTCAAATATCCACAAAAGAATGTTTACAAGAGCTACCCACAACGAATGATTCAGGTGTGTTTGCCTGTTCTGAGGTCCAAAGTGCTAAAACACATGCGTAGATTCTGGAAATCCTCTTCTTCGCCAGGAACTTGTTAAAAACACCAAAGGAGGACCTACACCCAGCACATACATTACACCACTCTAAATTTTGGTATTAAAACCAACAAATAGTGATGACTACATCGGGTACGAAAGTGCATCGCGCCCTGCATAGTTGGGCGTTTGGGAGCCCAAGTATGGCAAAAAGCCCCCTTCTTTGTTTGCGCCCAAAAGAAGCAATGCCTTACATGCGCCCCTCTTTTTTTGGAAAAAACTGGGTGCTTTGGCTCCACAAACACAACACCCAAGACATATAAGGGAAAAAGAAAGAAAGAGTGAAAGGTTTGCCCCATGGCGGGCGAAGATGGGTGTTCTTGAGCTCTTTAACCTATTTTATTCACGAAGAGATGATTACAAGGAAAGGAGAGTTCTCCCTTCATAGAGGTGAGAGGAGAGGAGAGCTGAAGAGAGAAGAAAGAGACAGAGCCGCAATTCTTTTACATGCTACAAGTTTCTTTTAAGGTAAATAGTAAAAAGTAATATTACAAAAGTGTTATTGCTTTGAGGAGGGCAGTACAGGGTATTTTGTTCATTTCGTTGCTCAGATCGATCTTTCTGGAGCTTTTCAGTGTTGTCGGATGCAAGCAGCTGGCCCAAGGTAGTCAGTCGGTGGAAAAGGTGGTCGGCCGGCGGAAGTGTGTGGCTGGAGTTGGCCGGCCCAGGTGGTCGACTGATTGGGAGAGCGGGCTGCTGGGGTGACTCCGGCGATGGTGAGTTTGGCCTGGCAAAGACCCAGACATTTCCTGTCATACAGTGCTTTTCGCACTTGTGGATGGGATAAAAGTTATAGTTTTCTGAATTTTTATTTCACTTTATTGTCATCTGAAGGGCAAGTAGAATCCTGAATACTGCTTTGTTTAATTTTTTGAACTACCTTAAAAAATGTTTCAATGAGACTCCCCTTTTTGCCCATCCTTAACCAATGACCTGTACATGTCATTCGAAGGTTGGGTATACTACTTATCATTGTGGCAATGACCATAATCATAGTTCTTTCCAATCGTTAATTTTTAAACAATTTCATTCTCCAGCTAACTTCCCCCAAATTAAGAAATGTGTTGTCAGAAAATATTCAGTTAAATGTAACATTGGCAGATGATATCACCACAAAACATTTGAATTGTCTAACAGTTCAGCTTTTTTACTTCCAGGCAATTTTTTCTTCTTCCGTCAACTATAGTTTAATAGCATGGTCCAACAAAATATTGGGACCGGCTTTGGTAGCGTTATACAATCCTCTTCAGCCCGCGATGTCTGCCTTTCTGTCAACAATGTTTCTCGGAAGCTCCATCTACCTTGGAAGGTTGCATCCATTCCCATGAATTGAATTCTGGATTAACTTAACTTTGCCGTGCTGCTTTCCCTTAATTCTATATTAAGCTTGCATATGCATTAATTTAGTTATTAATGCTAACTTACATGATGTGATTCAAGTGCTATTGGTGGAGTTCTGATCATCTTTGGCTTGTATCTCGTCACCTGGGGGCGTTATGTGGAGAGTGAAGCACCAAAAGTGGCCAAGAATGGTGAGAACCTGATCTGGCAACCTTTTCTGCAAGATGATTCAACTCCCAGATGGAAGGGGAAGAAAAGCTTGGTCCTACTTGTTTAGCCTGGAAGATAGAAGGATTTAAATACAGTCTCTTACTTTTCATAGACAAGCTTCTTATTTAATACTAAAGATTAAAATGGAAATTAGGGGCAAGTCAATAGGTGGGGATTTTTTTTTGGCTAGGAAGGTGAGCCAAAACAGTAATACATGCGATTCGAACTCGTCACAAAATAATAATGAAATTTTTACTCTAATGCAAAACATAATGAAGTTTTAACTTTTAAGCTAATTGTGTTAATAGGTCAAAATAGATATCTATGAAGTAACTCTAATGCTCTAGTATTTATCAAAATAGTCTTACTCTTAATTAATTTTTAGTTTGTTTATCATTCATGTAAGCATCATAAGTATGATAAAAATCATAATTAAGTATTTGTTGTCCAACTCTAGAATTCAATTTTATAATTTTTTGTAGTGTAAGCATGCTTGAATGGCATAACCTTCTATGCCATAATCAAGCATAACCTATGTTGGATTTTAAACAAATAAAATTTATAGTACTTCTAATTTTCATATCAAATAATAATAAATTATCAAACTCATTCCTTAGTAAAGCAATCTTAAATATTTTCTCTTATAACACAATAGGATGTCCAAAAATGAAACTTCTAACCCATTATAACATAATTAATTTATAAAAATTTAATCATGTTTAATGCAATAATGAATTTAATCATGTTAATGGTGATTTTTTTTACATACTAGTCTGAATTTAATAAATTTTATTTATTATTATCGCCAAATGTGACAACCATCATCATTTAAATCCAAAAATGCAAAGTTAGTTCTATCTTCAATAATGTACCTTAAGTATCCACTATTCAAGTACCATTTGATTTCATTTGTATTAGATAAAATTCATCCTTATTAAAAAACATGAGTTAAATTGGGAACTTGAACTTCTATTGATCCCCCTTCAAATTATATGCCTTAGATGTAATATGTATTATTTGTGTAGGAATAACACTCCTTGGTTCCAAACATCAAATGAATGTACATGAAACTATGCAAGGCTTGCATGAGAATTTGTATAAATGTATGCTTGTTTGTAATAGAAATTACTCAAAATATTGATGTTCGCATATAGCTTCTGATGACGATTATATTGAGTGTAATAATGTATACAATGTGTATGAGAATAATTCTTATCATTGGACCCTTTGTATGAAGTGTTAGTATTTATTTTTGTGCTAAAATGAGACTTTTGATGGCACAATTCCCTTCTTGTTGGTAGCATACCCCACACTCATCGCACTATTTAGGATGTTAATATAGATTTTTCTTGTGAGTTATGCCCGAAGATAAAAGCGACAGAAACCATGAAGGAGAGATAGAGAGAGAGAGAGACAAATATGGAGAAAGATGGGTACATCATATACAGACTTGCCCCGTAGGGGCAAATTGGGGTATTCTCGGTTTTTGTGACCCATTTTATTTCAAACAAATGGGGGTAACAAGAGAGAGGAGAGAGTTCTCCTTAGAGAGAGAGTGAGTCTAGAAAGAAGAGCCTAAAGAGGGAAAAAACCTAGAGGCAAAAGCCCTTAATACAAGTTATGATCCCTCTATTTATAGAAGATAGAGGGACAAAAGATAAAATTGTATGCATACCCCTACTTTAATATGAAGATTACGGATCTTATTGTCTTATAGCATGCCTTTTCAAATTCATAACTAATTTTGACACCTGTTCTAATGAACACTGATCAACCTTTGCTCTAAGAAGTCAGTCAACTTTATATATGGACGTTTGTTGGCCTTTGCCCTGGGAATCTGGTCGATATTAAGTATAGAAGTCGGTCCACCTCTGGATGGCTAGAGCCTAATCATTGTTGGTTAGTGAATTTGCAAACCTTTGGGGGTTGCTGTTAAAAGAGCTTCACGTTGATATTTGTGAGATTGTTAGGGATATTAGAACTTTGTTCAGTCACTGACGTGGATGCTTATTTGTTGTTGGCATGGGTGACACTTCAGTCGCCGGACTGAACTTATGTCGATCAGTAGTCCTTCTATCAATCATCAGCCCTTCAGTCAGCTAGCAATCAGTCGGTTGGCTATTGGTCGGCTGACAGTCTTTAGCCTGTTGGATTGGCCATCAGTCGCCTGGATTGGCTATTAATTGCCCGAACTAGCTATAAGTCGCCTAGGCTGGCTTTTAATCATTTAAACTAACTATCAGTAACCTGTGAGGCCTTATAGTTTTTTCATTGATATGGATCTTTAGATTGTCTCGAGATTTGTGTGGACCATTTTTGGTTGTGCATGATCAAAATCAAAAGTGTAGATTATTTAAAGATATTACAATTCTAAAAATTGTATCTAGAGAATTAAAAGTGGCATTACAAACAAAAAAAAAATATAAACAAATCTATACACAAGAAACTATTTAATAAAATTTAAAGTGCTCTTTTTTATTGTAACCACATTGCTCAACTATTCCAAGTGATCATAATGCCTACATTTATGTTATTTTTGTTTTCTAAAATTTAGGGTATTTGTATTTGTTTGCTTAGCTGACCGCCAAATGCTCATGAAAACTTAACTATACTTATTGTAAACCTCTCCAAGGCCAATATTCCATTCTTAACAGCTTTTAGAAGTCTCTCAAATCCAATTAAGCCACAATTTAGAGCTTAATACTAAGCTCAGGAAAGACTTTAAACAAATGATTTTAAGTATCAAGGCCATAACAACAGGGTACGGTAAATGACTTCAAGAAAATATATTAAGTATTTTCTATGAAATTTTGTGTCATATATGTTTTCATGAACAGATTTTAATCTAATGATTCACATTAACTAATTCGATATTATATTGATGAAAATAAAATAATATAATATAATTAAAAAAATATCTCTATTCTTAAAAAAAAAATAATTACAATATATCTCATGTGTTTTTATAAAATGTTAGATTTTTTCAAACCGAATAAAGTCGAAATTTCGGCTTTTTATAATGAGAACATTTAATAAAAATGGTAACAATCCTTTCAAACCAAGCACAAGTCATAAGCCCATAAAAAAGCTCTACATAGCACACAATTTTTCCTTAATTAAGCTCTTTGGAGGCATTTGGTTGTGACTTAATTTTACGGTAAATTGGAGTTATCAAGTTCGCTAAATTTGGATTTATCAAATTCTCTGTGACGAAACTCAGCCTCACGAGCGACGACTAAACAAATCTTATAAATTCTTCCCGTAATTACATTTAATAAATCTAGACTTATGTCACAAAGCAAAAACATAAGAACATTATCATGATCTAATAAGCGATAACATGAGCGCATTATCATGTACAACTGTCAACTAAATGATGAATAAAATATGCAAACCAAAGAAAATGCTCCAATACTTCATTAAATTATATGATATCCTGAAACAGCAATCTAAGCACATTAGATTAGTGGAGCAAATAAGATTTATGAATCACCAGCCGACATACCAAACAATGTTAGGCTTATATCACTATATAATTAAAGATTTAGTAGTTCATGATCACGACACATTCAATGATGTTAATCTTCCTGCTTCTGTCTGATAGACAACATGTCACAAGCCATCAACCGTGACTAATACAATATTTAGATAATCAACTATTTATTCTTAGCAATACATCTTGAAATGCATCAAATTTGAACCAGATAAAGACCTTCTCTTTCCAGGTACTGACATTCATGCAAAACTTGACTTATAAGCATGCTCTGCTACAGTTCTTATAATTATATGGCGAAAAAGATAAATTTTTGCATAGATTATTTGTTATCCATGTTAAATGCATTGAGTTTTGGTCATTTTAATCTTTTTTGCTTCCAGGTGAAGATAATGGATGAAAACTCAGACTCAAATATTACGACGACAGCCAAAGATGAAGGGTGCAGAAATGTGCAGGATCTTCTACTGCCAATTGCAAATATAGGAAGAATTATGAAGCAAGCTCTACCAACCAAAGCTAAGATTTCAAAAGACGCAAAGCAAACTATGCAAGAGTGTGCATCGGAATTCATAGCCTTTATAACTGGGGAAGCTTCTGATAAGTGTCGCAAGGAAAATAGACAAACTTTAAGTGGAGAAGATATATGTCATGCCATGAAATTACTTGGGTTAGATAAATATGCTTGTTCTGCTAAAAGTTACCTTCAAAAGTATAGAGAGCATTGTGAGAAATCAGAAGCCATTAAAAATACTGAGCCCATGGAAACTGATATGACAGATATGTTACAAATATATTGCAAAAGCAACCAGCACAGCTAGAGATTGTATATACAGTCATTCCTATACGTTGCAATTAAAGAAAATCAAATAGCTTTTAGGGAAAAATAATGGGAGAGCTTATAGCTAGTATGGCCTTTCTAAAGTGGGGACATAAATATCTGTTTGTAATTAATGATTGTATTGAATTTTTTTATCATTAAATTGTTCTTATCCATAGATGCATTGCAAATCACAGTTTTAACAGAAGACAGCATAGTGATTGGGAAATGAGTTTCTTACAAGTATTTATGGTTTAATTTTGTCCTAAAGATTTATGAGGAGTTAAAGGTTTTTTTTAATGGATAAATCAATTTAAAGTTTGGTTGTTAACATCTTTTTTAACAATAAGTATTTTTTGAAAAAATTGAAGACTACGCCTAGCATTTCATTGAAAATTAGAAGTGGTTGCACTAGATCAAAATCAAAAGAGTAGAATATTTGAAGATAATACAATCCTAAAAGTTATACTTATAGACTTAAAAAGAGGCATTATAAACAAAAATTATAAGCAAATCTATACACAAGATATTGTTTAATAAATTTAAAATGCTCCAATTCTATTCCAAGTGATCAAAATGCCTACATTTTATTTGATTTTGTCTTCTAAAATTTAGGGCATTTGCTTGCTTAGTTGACCGCCAAATGCACGTGAAAATTTAACAATACTTATTTTAAACTTCTTGAAGGCCAATATACCATTCTTAATAGGCTTTAGAAGCCTCTCAAATCAAATTAAGCTACAATTCACAGATTAATGCTAAGCTGAGGATGGTTTTTAAATAAATGTTTTTTAAGAATTAAGAGTTTATTTGGGACGGTTGCAATTTATTAAAAAACTGTTGCACAACAGTCGTGCTAAGAAGCTATGGGGGAAAACTGTGTTTCTGTTTATTTTGTGCAATTATGCAGCAGCTGCTTAAGTTAAAAAGAACTTCCTACCCCTATACTATTGTGTTATTTATAACATAATCAATCCTGGTTGCACATTTCATACATAAAAATATATATTCAATTTGAATATTACATAATTGAAATTTACACCTCACTAAACAACGAGTAACAACAATAAAAATTAAAAATTAAACTATTAAAATAACAATTATTATTATCATAATGTTGAATTTAAAATTCAGATAATTAATTTAATAAGATAATCTCTGCTCTAACAAAACTCTTCATGTCTGATCACTATTGGAGGAGAAATCATCAAATTGATTTGCCTACCTGAAGAACTTACAGTTCTCTGATCTATTTTTGGTGCGCTTGTAAAATTGTTTCGCATGATCTATTCCTTGGACTCTTGTAAAATTGACTCCCATAGCGACGCTCATGTCACAAAGTAAGCAGAAAATACTATAGTTCACAGTAGCAATACAATACTCTAAAGGCACCGAAAGACCTCAAGCTCATCTTTCCTGGAGGTTTAAAATCACAAAATACAAACCGTTAGATGCAATATTAGTAAAAAATAATAATAGAAATACACAAATAAGGTTTTATAAAGTTGTGAGGTCTCAGAAAAAATATAAACCAACAAATAATTTATCAATATAAGAAGACAATAGGCCTTTAAGAAAAGAGTTCTTGGTTGTCTTTAAACCATGTAACACCGATCACATTGTGTCACAGAAGCAAATCACCACAAAAACCATAAAAAAAAACCCAATCATTATAATCAGAGAAAATTAGGATCTTCGTTGCATTTAAACCACATAAAGTCGTGCTCGGATGTCTCACAAAACCATAATGCCACAAAATGCCATCCAAAAGAACCCCATTAGTCATTTGACTGAAAAATAGAGTTACTTGATTGCCTTTAAATCATGTAATACCGAGCTCATATGTGCAACAGTCATATCACCACAAAGAACATTATGAAGAACCTCTAAGGTCATTTATGTCATCATAGACCTCAAAACCAAAAAAAAAAACATGCAAGCATAAAAAATCTAGATGTCATCCATGTGGGACAAAAGTGAAAAAGTAATTTGCCATGAATCGAAATTTCACATGAACATCATTGCATGTAATGTTATTACAATAAAGAATAGTTACTTTTCCAAAACATTACACAAATAAAGAAAATGCAGTGCAAAATTTTTCACCCACTAACTATTGAACTTGTAATTTGCTCTCTCAACTCCATCATCTCCGCAACATCTTCCTCATCTTGTGTACAAGAGTCATGTAAATCAAGTTCAACTTGTGACATTGACAGGCCTAGACTATATTTGTATGTCTCGATAGTGATATGTGATTGGTCCTCATCTGCATTATTGAATAAATATTGTTACGTGAAGGATGTCAAATAATGTAGTTGTGAAGAGCCATCGTAGCTATCACAACTTTACTTATTTATTGAAAAAGGAGATGGATATATCACACAAAATAGCTCTTCTTTTTTCCAAATGCCAAATGTCATTTCAATAATATCACGTACAAATGAGTGCCTCTTGTTAAGCGTCTCATTCAGTCCCAAGCTACATTTATCGACTCTAGGGCTGTAAACGAGCCGAGCTTGAGCGAGCTCAGGCTTGGCTCGTGTTCGGCTCGTTCGAAATAGCTCGTGTTCGAAATCGGCTCGTGAACAGTGGTTCGTGTTCGACTCGATTTAAATATTCGTGTTCGTGTTCGGCTCGTGTTCGGCTCAAAATTGGCTCGTTAAACTAAAATTGAGAAAAATAGATGTAAAGTGTGGGATTCGAACCTGGATCAAATCTATACAAAAGAAGACACTAACCACATTGTCACATGAGGTGTTATGATTTAAATTTAGACAAATATATATAATATATTATTATATAAATAATATATGTAATATATTGTTATATAAAAAGTTATATAATTTTTTTT